TAGTTTTATTATTCAAGCTCGAATGACAATATTCTCTTCGTTGAAAGTGAGGCCAATTCGATTCGCGGTCCACAGAACGTGTTAAATGATGAATTTGTCGGCTTCCGGCTCGAACGGGCTGTCTGTATCAATGTCCAAGGATGAGGGTTCGGCCTGGGTTTTGGAGTTAACAAGACTCCTGGGCTGTATGAGAGAGGGAAGAGGTTCCAACGGATTGGTGTGAATCGGTGATCATATCGATTTACAAGAAAGGCGACAGATTCTGTTGTGAAAACCACAGAGAAATTAATTTGATCAACATCGTTTCTAAACTTCTCGCTGGGGTCATACTCCGTCGATTGTATGCCGCACACGTGAGAATCAGGCTGGTTTTAGACCTGGTCGAGCTTGTATCGACCAAATCTTCACTCTTCGTCGAATTCTAGAACACAGACACTTTTCATAGACCCACGGTTTCTATCTTCCTTGATCTGAAAGTGGCTTTCGACTCAGTCGCCTGCTCCAAACTCTGGCACTGCCTTTATACTAAGCCGAATCCGAGCTTACGGCACTTTGTCACCCGAGTTCATCACGGAAAGTGGTGTTCGTCAGGGTTGCCCTCTCTCTCCGCTTCTATTTAACTTTATGGATTTAATTCTTAAAACAACCCTATCCTCGTACGACGATAGCGGCTTCGACCTAATCCCAGGTGGCAGATTTCCTGGTCTAGAGTATGCAGACGATATTGTGCCGCTAACAGAAGATCCAGCTTCTGTGGACAGCTTGATGGCCGATGTAGCCTTGTTCGGTATGCGTTTTGCACCTTCAAAGTATAAAATTTTGCTAAAAGGACGGGTTGGTCCAGCCCCCAACCTTATCTTGACTAGGGAAGTAACAGAGGAAGATAAATTTTGCTATCTGTGCAGCTGTCTCACCTGGCGGACATGTCACGGATAAAGTGTCGGCGCGCATACAGAAGGCTCGGTTGGCATTTGCCAACTTGAGACATCTGTTGCGCCGCCGCGACATTCGGCTGTCCGCGAAGGGTAGAGTATATGCTGCAGTAGTTCGGCCAGATGCAGAAACTTCGCCATTAAGGGGACGAGATAAAGATAGACTGTCTGTGTTCGAACATCGCTGTGCACGTCGCATTGCGCGAGTGTGGTGCTGAAACCGGGCAAGCAGTGCTGAGGTTAGGTGTAGAGTTTTGGGCAATCACTAGAGCAAGTGATCGACCTCCAAAGATTACGCTGGTTGGGACATGTGCTGCACGTATCACCAAATAGGTTGCCACGGCGAGCGATGAAAACCCTAAATAGGGTGGTAGTGGCGCAGTGGTTTAGTCGCTGTCACCGGCGTGCTCAGGACCCTATGGTCCGAGGTTCGAGCCCCGCCACCACCACTCGACTTTATGGTGGGCAGCTCTGTTGTCGTCCGGTTCAATACAAAGCCTAACCTATCGGGGCCTTATGTGGTTCGCCACTCCAAGTCCTGGAGCTTAGGTTGCAGGTTTCCACCACTGAACAACAGGTCGTCGTGACTGAGGTTCGCCCCATCTTCTGTTCATCACACTTGGATGCGTAATAAAAAAACTATGAGGCTAGGTCACATAGGTCCCGTTAGTCTCCCTGAATGAAGACCCTGAGATCGTGGCAACCGGTGGTTTGAGACACTGATTAATATGATTGTGTCGCAAACAGTAACACCTGTGCATCTACTCATAATTTTTGCAACCACAGTCATCTTTCCCTTGAATTAACTGTGAACATTCCAATCTACATTCTGCTCTTTCATTCAAACGGACAACCGAGAGACAGCAATCAAAACCGTCGCACAAAATTGCTTGATTGTTGGTTGTAAAAACTGAAACTGAATTCGTCGTGTAGATAAGGAGTGATCTGACAAGCCAGGAAGCAGTGGACAACTGTTTCGACCTTGGTCTCATCAGCAGTGCAAATCCGTCGACCAGTTAGCGAGGTACGATACCCGCGGTAAGCTTGCAAAGATGCATTGTGGTTTATCGTTTTTATTCACAATGAGAAACGATTTGATCAGCTACCCGGTGGCTGAATAGGTAGTATGCTTGCGTTTTAACTGTGTGGTCCCAGGTTCGATCCTCAGTTGGGTCGATGAATTCGCACTGCTGATAAGATCTAACCAAGTCAGGATCGACGGATTATGATACCGATGAGGATCAGACCTCATTTGCACGACAAATTCTTCATATAATTAGAGGATGCTTCATTACTCTGATTGAACGTCTTTACTTGGAATCATGTTCCGCTTCGCTTTTTCTACAAGTCAAATTATCAGCGTACGAGAAAACTGACCCCAACCGCTCTATTTGCAACATCTCGAGCATTGCTCGTAAGCACACTACTACATTTTTAACACCAAATGGTCTACGAAACTGGTCCAGTTTTCTGTACGATCCATAACCAGTATAATTTTTCTCGTCTAGACACTTGATAATAGGTGCTGCGTAGACCAAACGAGGTGTACACTGCGTAGCGGGAACGTTTCTCCATTTTATCGCTGTCAGTATGCTTACAGAAAATTAAAACGAGTAATGGTCTGTCTGTAAACAATAAAAGTGGCATTTTTTGCTTTCAGTTCTCATTATCAGAACATGGGATTTTCAGGAGAAAATCGATTGTTCAGTAGCATTATCCAACAGCAGCTCCCGAACTTCAGCACACAGGCACCTCGGTTTGGCGTTGACGGGTTCACAGGCAGTATCCAACCCTAGAAACAGCGCTAGTGTTACATAAGCCATTGTCAGACATCAAGGTAATTGGCTTACCCTCGTCGAAAAACATCCTTGGAGGCCGGTAAATATACAGTACTTTGTGTTTCAGGAAACATTGACAGAACCTCGTGAAGATGGATAGTTTAACGTTCTCATGCGCAATTTATCTCAACGAAATGCTCACCACGCAATGTCTCTGTGCTGCTGAGACAGTCTATTTGCCGTAGAAACGTCACATCTTAGCATTTTGTGGTTTAATGTAGATTGACTGAAGGCTGTAAAGAACGTTTTCACTCTTCGAAACTAAATATTGACTTGAGTACAACTAGAGAGATAGTTTAATTATAATTATGACTTATCGGGATTTTAGGGTCCCAGTGATTTGAAACCAGTGGTTTCAATGACCAGTTCGACCTATACAGTTTGTGGACTCGTTCATACAGGTCGCATTTACCTCCTTGGATGGGGACTTCTGGATCATCGGAACCAGTTGCCAAAGACACTAAGTGGTATGGATGAATGCCTTGGAAAGCCTTCATGGTCGGGACTGGTTGTCTTGGCTTATTGCTAGTCCCCCTTCCCTACTCACTACCTTTTCAGGGCAAAGGTGCATTCCTACCAAAGTGAGGGAACGAAAAGCCAATATCCGGGGCTCTAATCTGATTGATGAACTATTGGTAGTTCGTTGAAACTGAAAGGTTGTGTATACTACGCCAGTGTGCTGTCAGTTCTGCTCTATGGTTGCGAGACTCTGAATTTGCGTGTTGAAGATATTAGTTACCTAGAAGTCTTTGAGTGTCGACGGTTACGTAGTTTGGCGCGGGTTGGATGGAGCGAGCGTGTAAGCAGCTCTGAGGTAAGGCGTCACGTATGTGGTTATGATTCAATGGAGACGTGGTTGTTGAATCAAATTCAGATTAGTCGGCTTCGCTGGTTAGGACACGTTGCACATGCCCAGCTATCCTCTACCGCACCGCGTCTTATTCGCAGTTGCGGCTCAATGTTGGAAGAGATCACGTGGAGGTCAACAAATTACGTGGAAACGAGGCATGAAGAAATGCACAGAACGATTAGGTAGAATCAGTGTCTCCCATCTTCCAGGTTTTGGTCCGCAAGACTCTGCAACTGGCTGAAGACACTGAAGGATATGGTGCCTAATCGACAGCAGTGACATTCTTTTTGTCATTTCTTATCAGGTCCGAATGCTTGAAAAAGGTATGTATGCAAACTGGGATTGTGTACTCTGTGTTGACCATAGAGGTTCACTTTCTTTGTCTCCCTTCAATTAAGAAATATCCGGGGCTATAATCGGTTCGGTGAACTATTAACAGTTCACCTAGGGGAGTTGGCCAAACCAACCAAGAAGAGGCATGTGAACCACGCACACACCCTCATATATATATATATATATATATATATATATATATATATATATATATATATATATATATATATA